TCCCTGGTGGCGCAGGGGTTAAGCTATCAAGCTATAGCCAGCCACTGCCACATGAGTTCATGAGTTCAATCCCAGCCAGGGAGCTACCCACATGGCACAGCAGACCTCTCTGGACTCGCCCGCTGCTCCCCTCAGCATGTATTTCAGTCAGGCTGCCTGTTCTGTTCCCCACTCTCTCTCCGGTGAATCCTCTCACCCCCACACCACTGGCCTACACCCCAAGCTCTTGTATGCATAACTAAATAAAATAAATCTTTAAAAATAAATAAATAAATAAATAAAGCACTCGGCACCTGGCACTGTTTCAGGCACTCAGCTGGGAGATAGTGACCAAAAATTATTTTCTAGAGACAGCCTGTTTTGGTGCATTAATACGCAAAAACAATGACATGCAGTGGTACCTATAATCACATTGTGAGATGATAGTGAGAAATAAAAGTCTGGGTAGGTGTGTGAGCCGCAGCTTCTCCAGGCTTGCAGGCCAGGCCTCCTGCCAAGGGGCTGCCGGGAGACATTTCTCCAGCTCTCCTGCCCCTCCCCCTTCTGTCTCCAGTCCTTCCCTGGGTCTGTGCTCCTGCAGCCATTTCTTGTCACTGCTGAACAATAGGCCTTGCTAGCAGCTGCCAGCTTGGCTGCCCTGTCGGGGGAGGGTAGGGAAGGAGACCGCTGGGCCGGCTGTGGGGCTGGGGCAGCCAGCCTGCTGCAAGGGGCTTCCCAGCAACAGGGACAATGCCCGCGTGTGTGCCTTCTGGGTCACGCACACGGCTGCACCATCCCAGACACCTCGAAGGCTGCCACTGGCTCTCCTCCCACCCCAGAGCCTTTGTCAAACCCTTGAAGCATGTGGCGTGTATGTGTTAACGGGCAGACTGAGGGTCACCCCGGGGCCCCCAAATCTTCATGCTCTAAATAGGTTCTTACATGCTCTAAATAGGTTCCACTGCATAAAGACAAAACATACTCAGTGTGTAAGACTGTCAATAGAAAAGAACTTTAATAGGATAGTGAGCAACAGAGAGAGGAGAGGATATAGTTTCCTAATGAACCACCAAAAGTTACCCATCCCCAAAGCGGAGCCACTGAGACCCGAAAGCTTGCCACAAGTAGAAAGTGCCTTCTGCCAGGGAACCACACATCGGCAGGGGCAAAAGGAGCCAGGCAAGTCTGGGACAAAAGGAGCAAAATCACAGTACAAGCTAAGGTAACAGCTGCCGTTTTCAGTCTCCCCACATGTCTTTCACCTGCGTCTCTTCCAAGTGTCTCCTTCCACGTCCCCCAAGTCCCTCGCGCAAGACCAAGGCCGAGAAGCAAGCGTGTCTTCTTCTTCACGTCTCTCTGCTCCACGTGCCTCTGCTCCACGTGCCTCTTTCAAGTCTTTTCCAAGTCCTTTTTGGCTTCTTGCCACACAGCTCCACCCTTTCTTAGGTGGGGCAGGGAACATGGAACCTCCCCTTTCTAGATTACTGTTACATATGTAGTCCTGCCTGCTTTCTTTGTAGGAGACGGCTGTGGCCCTGAGAGGAAAAGTGACTGGCCCAAGGTCACTTATGGCTAAGACAAGAGCACCGTGAGCCCTGCAGAGCTGCCCCACTCCTGGTCCACAGCCAGCCCCACTGAGACATCCTTTTCCTTTTGTGCCACAGGGCAATGCTACCATGGGGCGGTGGGGAGTGGGAGTGGGAAGGCCCACTCTGATTGGATTTCAGTCCCCTAACTCCCCCACCTTGCTCAGAGCGCAGGCATTAGCCTGCCCGTGGACCCCAGTGACACCGGGAGCAATGACAGGCCCCAGGAGAGTGTGCTGGAGTTGTGGATGTCAGAGTCCCAGCCGCAATCCCGGCTCTGCCACTTGTCACTTGTGACCTTCGAGAAGTTACCTAACCTCTCTGAGCCTGACTCCCTCCTCTGTGAAGTGGGAGTGTAAGATAAACCTGGGGATGTTGGGGCAGAGCGTATGTAAGACCACGCACGCAAGTGTTAGTGGTGTCTGGCGTGTGTGAGCGCTTGGTGAACCTGGGACTGTGACTATTGATTCGGCCAAAGATTCCTCTCGAAGAGAATCCCAAGGACATCAAAAGCAAAAACGGTAAAGGCTATAAGGACCCTGGGATGCCAGGCTGCCACACAAACTTGGAGCACAGTGTCCTCAGAAAATAAAAGTCTGACAACGATGCCACAAGCATGGTGTTAGGAAACAGCGGGTGCCCACAGAATGTGCTCTCAACGTAAGACACTCCAGCTTTGCTCTATGGCCCAAGCTGAAACACCCTGCCGAGTGGAGACCTGGATTTTCACTGCCACTGTCATGTCAGCTAGAGTTAACATGTGTGGATTATTTCTGTCATGTTCTAGAACTGTCATGTTCTGTCATGTTTTCCTTTAATCCTCACCTTCGCATGAGATAAGCTTGATTATTATTCTCCAAGCTCTGAACCCCAGAGCTATGAACTGTATCTTGCCTTAGGCAGCAGTCACTTCCCTTTCCATGTCTGTTTTCCCATTTGTCAAATAAAAGCCCTTTGACCAGAAGATCCAGGGCAAAGTCTCCTCCCAGGTCTTAAACGCTGCAGTGGGTCACTCTTATGCACTTACCTCTCTTCCTTTCTGATTGCTCTGCCTTCCTGGGCCCTTGCACCCCCACTTCTGGCAGCCTGTGCCCTTGGAAGCCCCATCCCCACACCTGTGCTGCATTTGCTTTCACCTTTCACGGGCTATGTGTGCCCCTGAGCCCAGGAACAGTGACACGCTCTCCACCCCCCTGCCCCCCACCCCAGTCCCACCTCCACAGTCACATACTGCACGGTTTGCAAAGATCAGGCTTTAGCAAACTATCTGTTAAGGGCCAAAGAGCAAACATGTTAGACCTGGAGAGTCCTATGTTCTTGGTGCTAATGCAGCGGGACAGCAGTCAGAGGCAAGCATGAGTAAACATACTAAGAAAGCTTTACTTACAAAAACAGGCAGTGGGCAGGATTTAGCCCCAGGGAAGGATGCTGACCCTGTGGCAAGGATGAACATTAAGGGTCCCTGCCCTTCAGAACAGCAGTGGGGAGCAGAGGCACAAGGAGCACCGGCAGACCTAAGACAATGCAGGACTTTTAAAGGCTGTTTGCAGGTGCAGAGGTCTCTGGAGAAGGTTGTTCTGCCTGCACTGTGCAGAAGCTTCACGAACAGGGATTGAGCTTGGCCTTGAGTGGTGGGTAGAATTTCTGTAAGCAGGAGCAGGGGGCACAATACAGGACACAAAGCGTGCTAGGAATGGGGGAGCCCATAGAGTCAGGATGGGAGCGCACCTGGGATTCAGACAGGGAGACTGTCCCTGCTTCTCTCATTCTCTAAGAAGAGGCTTTCCTTCAGTCAAGAAATATTTTGAGGGTCTACTGTGTGTTAGGCACAGTTGTAGGAATGCGAGGACTGATGACATTCATAATTTGCATTTTTGCACTGTCAACATTTTCAGTGAGATTTAGGAAGCTATGACGATCTTGTTCTCACAAGCACAGATTGAGTGATCTGCTAAAGTTGCATCTCTAATTAATAGCGGATGTTCACATTCCAGATGTAAGCCACTCTACCGAGCAACACTTATTTCTAGCTGCCTACTGAGTATCTCCGCTGGGATGTCTGGAAAGAGCTCATGTTGTTCTTCTCCCCCTGTGTTAGTTTGCTAGGACTGCCATAAAAACTTCCACAAACCAAGTGGCTTAAACAACAGAAATTTATTGTTCTAAAGGCCAGGCAGAGAAGGTGTCAGCACGGCTTCTGAGCACTGTGAGACAGAAACCTCTTGCCCTCCCACCCCCCAGCTCTGGAGCGTTGCTGGCAAGCTCTGGTGCGCCTGGTAGACAATCGTCCTGATCTTCACCCTCATCTTTACACAGTGTTCTCTCACCGTGTACTTGTCTGGGTCGGAATCTCCCCTTTTTATAAGGACACTAGCCTTGTTGGACTAGGGCCCACCCTAATAAACCTCATTTTAATGCGGCCACTTCTATAAAGTCCTTTCTCCAAATAAAGGTCACATTCTGAGGTACTGGGTGTTAGGACTTCCCCTTCTCTTTGAGGACATGGTTTAACTTTAACCCATGACACCTCACCAACCCTCCCCTCCCCAATGCTGACTGAATGGAACCCTCACTTTCAGGTTTCTCGTATTTGGCTGGTACGGCAGCCCAGAGCTGTCTGGATCAGGTGAGGCTGGATCTCATAACTCCATCAAAGGCAGTCCAACGGGCTAGGAGGCTGCTTAGGGATCTTGCCATTAGCCTCTGAATGATGAGGTTGTGAGGACGGGTCCAGATTGTATGAATTGGTCGGGGGGGACGGGGGGGGGGGCTGTTGGAGGATGTACAACAATCACATGACCCACTGGCATTATGGAATGTCATGTCAACTCCAGCATCAAGGATGTTGGAGGCATGATCAAGGCAGGAAGTGTCGTTAGGAAGCAGGTGCAATAGCCAGAGGTGAGGTGGAAGAGGCCAGTGCTTGGGAAGCCATGGGAGCGATGGGAAGGAGGTGGCAGGAGGCATGGCCATTGGCGAGCAGAGTGGCTTGGACTGGAAAACAGGCCCAGTGGGCAGTGGAATCACACCTGGGAGGTGATGAGGTGAGTCGGAGGCCCAAAGGGGAAGGACCAGCTCCTCACAGAAGGAGGCCGCTTTAGATGTGGTGAGTGAGATGGCGGAAGGGTGGTAGATACCTAGAACCAGGGCTCAGGAAGAAGCCGGAGCTGGTGATTTGTTCTGAGTCCTGAGAGGATTAGGTAACCTCGGGAAAGCCAGCAAGGGAGGTTTGGCAGAGCTGGGGGAAAAAATATCTAGAAACTTGGGGGAGAGAGGTGAGAACTAGGTCAAGAAGGCCCAAGAGGCAGGGAAGAGCCAGAGGAGAAAGGTGTTCCTGAGGCCAAGCAGGTGAGGAAGGTCATCAGCACCGAGTGCAGCAGACACGAATGTGGCTGTCCCTCTGCACGAGCCGACTGTGGTGAGCGAGGTTGCACTCTGGTCAGAAGGAAACTTCGAAGACGCCTCTCTCATCTTTTAACTGTTTATTGTATAATATAAAACTACAAAAGTAAGACTGCTCATTTCCATGTACATTTAATCTGTCCAATTGTTTAGATTACAGCCCAAACCTACATGTGAATACAGCCATCTGGTTTCCGATGTAACGTCTGTAATATTGCATAGAAAAGGCACAGCTCTCAGGTCTGTGGGGGAAAGGTTACACCTCCTTTTTCAACAGCCCTCCTCAAAACCATGCACCAAACATTTCAGTATGTACAGCTTTTCCAAAATCTTGGTTGTTTGCTCATATGGATTGCACTTCTCTTCCAAACATGTTATCCCTGAAGGATGTCCAAATTTTTTATTGGCTTTGTTTGCAACAGCATTTGATCCTGGCTAAATTTCAAGAACCCATTCAGACTTTCTTAGAAGCGCTGAAAACAATTGTTCACAAGCAAGACGCACACACCTCGCTGCCCTTGGCAGTTACAGGAAGTTAACCAGTCACAGCCAGAACAGGTTAAATATGCTCTTTTCAGCAAATGTATAAAGGTCCAATTTGTAACAGCAAGGTTTTGAAATTAAGACAATTCCTAGAGAGAATAACAATCGCTGCACAAAGTAGAGTCTCTCATTTATTTTTTTTTTTTACTTCTGTCATTTAAGAAGGCTGCCCTGTGGTATTCATAATTTATTGTTTACCACAAAGGTGGCTAATAAATTTAAGCTTTAAAAATGATCCGTAAGTTGATACTTTGGCTCTTTGGAGCTTATTTATTTAAGAAATTTTCCTTGATTGACCTCAGGGCAGCTGGGACACTCCAAGGGGCTATGGCGATAAAAAGCTCAATTGATAAAGACACTGGGGTGCAGCGGGGATGTGGCTAGTTCTCACCCTTTGGTATGAATGAGGGTGTCAGTGTGGTTGCCCCTTCTGTCATAAAGAGAAAGTGCTACTAAAAAATATTTAAAAATATCAACCCTTTGATGCTTGATTTTCTTAAAAATTTGGAGGTATTGAAACATTCCTCATCCATACCTTTTGCATATTTCAAATAGACCCATATTAGAGAAGAGAGTAAAAATGAATGTGGACTGTGCATACGATGAGAAGACCCAGGGGCCTGGCTCAGCCCCTTTTAATACAGATTTACATTCCTACAAGAGAATACATTCCTACCATACATTCTGCACATGTTACGATCCAGATGTTGTTAGAGCTCCACAGTAAAATAAATATATTTACACAGAAAAAAAAAAAGGAATAAATAACTTATGAAAAAAAATCACTTCAAATTCAAAGCTCTTATTATTCTGCTCTCATCTTGTCACGTCATTGCACACCACTGTCAAGAATTGTCCTCTCCCAAGTCCCACCCAGCAGAGCTTTCTCAGGAAGGCACCTCACACTGCCTGCCTGACTCTGAACGCCACTCGATGTCCTTCACGAAGGGGAAGGCTCTGCTACCAGGTGGCATCTGCACGCACGTCCCTCGTGCCTCGCTCGGACTGGGACTCGGAGACCTCACGCAGGCGCACACCCTCCGCTGACGGGACATCGCTTTGGGAAATGAAGACACAAAGATACCAAACACTTGATGGTTTTGTTCTTTTTGAAACAGGCCACTCATTTCTCGTGTTTTCCTCCTTAGATCTAGATTATGGAGAATTTACGGTAAGGGTGTCCAGAGTTTAAAAAAGCATCTGCGTGCTGTTGCTGGGGGTTTTGTTTTGATTCTGAAGCCCAGCCTTCCAAACACGAGAGAGCCAGAGACCCACGTTTGGGCAACACTTCGCTGTGCTTATTTGAACTGTTGCCCAACATATGGGATTTGTTTAAACACATGATTAGCTAATCCAACCAAAGTACAGTTGTTCTAAGTTACTGTAAATCAGTTTTTAACAATGGCAAATCAACCGCCTTACCCTGTTATTGTTCGGAATAATCAACACTATTGTGTGTGTGCACGCATGTAGACGTGTGCAGCATGTGCTGAGCTCGTCAGGTCCTCCAGTTATCAAAAGCATGGCGTCTGGGCAGACTTACTCTCTACAGGGAAAGGATGCTCTTAAAATGGACAGGCACAGCGACACCGGAAGCATCTACAACAACCCTCACCTCAACTCTATGGTCCCTGGTCCTATCAAAGGAAATGACGTATCCTAGCAGTAAGAGGTCACCGGGTGGAGGTTGCTTGTAGGAGAACAAGTGCAATGTGATCTGCTTCTCACTGCTCTGCAGAGTTGATAATCAGCCTTTCAAAACACATTCAAGTGGGGGGGGGGGAGGGGAGAAAGCAAATTAGGATGTAGGAAGATTTAATCATATCATACATGAATTTTTTTGCTTAGACGAGCAGTTCCTTCATCACAAATATATTTACTTTGCCATGTGCATTATAAAAATAAAACTATCTATGGCTTGTTTAAAGTGCCATTTTATAAAGCTGTCTTTTCGATTGGCCAGAAAGACTCAATTTTATCCATGGCAAGAAGTGAGCAGAACTGGTGACTGAATATTGACAAATGACCAACGACAAAGACAACAACAACAACACAAATCCCATAATTTAAAAATTCTTAAATAAATATAAAAGTTATTCCTAAAGAAGCCATCTGCATTTCAATAATACAGGTTGTAACCAGCTAAAGTACCATTGGGAGAAAGAAAGAACTGAAACGAAAAGGCCATAAACAATTTCGGCAATAAGCATGATACATCGCAAACGTTTTAAAATTAAATGTACACCACTAGGAATAAAAAGCTATTTCTCAAGTGTCCTGGGGCTGGGGTTGGGGGTGGGGACGGGTGGAAAGAGGAGAAACATGCATAGAAAGTCCCGTCTGTGTATTTGGGTAAAACAGCCTTGTAAAGTGTAGTTAGAGCAGTTGATTCAAGAAAGCAACCAGACTGGAAGCTGTGACTTCATGGGGCCAACTCCAGCCACGGGTGTTCCAAGATAGCATCCCAGGCTGGGCTGAGGTGAGCCGAGCTCACTGTGGTGATCTGAGGATGCCATTTGCAGCACTTAGCAACAGAGGGAACAAAAGCTCCAGGGAAGGGAAGCAGGAAAAGACAACTGAGCAACATGATGACGCCTTCTGGGGGAGATTTTCTTCTTTACAAGTCCTACCATTGCAAGAGGGTTTAGTTCCATGAAGAGGTTAGTCGCTTTTCATAAAATTGCTTGGGTGTAAAATTTCAGGTCATCACAAAAATCAGGCCAAAAAGGAAAGACCTGGGGTCTTGTTAAAAAAACAAAGCAATTAAAAGCACAAACCCGGCATAAATATAGTGAGTACTCTGCAGCCTTCCCCTGAAGAGAGGGAGCTAAAGACAACCATCACGTAAACCCCAAGCTCGAAGGCCACCTCCTGCCAACTGCTTAACGCAAGTTTGATGAGTTGACGTGGCTCTGGCTTTGGAAGTCACAGTGCTGGTGGGTGTTCATGCCAAGGGGTTGGTGCTCGTGAAATTTGGGTGTGATATTGCCTGGCCCTTTCTTAAAGCACTGTGAGAGAGAGAGAGAGAGAGAGAGAGAGAGAGAGAGAGAGAGAGAGAGAGAGAGAAAGAGAGAAAGAGAGAGAGAGAGAGAGAGAGAGAGAGAGACCGCATGTCTGCATTTGGGGAACATCAATTGCAAATTGATTTGATCAAATTTTCTCTTTGCACCAAACACATATAAAACATTACAACTCTATAAAAGTACAAGTGCAACTTGTACATCTGAAGTTTGCAGGAACTATGTGAGCAAATCCTATCAAAATAGCTATCTCATATGTATAAACAGCATTTGTTTTTAGAAAAACAATATCATAAACTGCAGAATCTGTACAAAAATATAAAATAAATTTGGGCAGCAGTTTCTAAACAGCCATGTAAATGCAACACTTAGGAGGAGTAGTTAATGCCTCTAAAAAGGCTGAATTGCCAAGTCAACCTATACAGGGCAAAAATGCCAGAAAAGGTACTGAGATTATCTAAATAATATATATATATATATATATATTCTTTTTACCTCTTGCAATAAAACTTATAGAAAAAATAGACAAATATGCACATGCAATTTACAGCTTTTCCAACTTATTCCTTGTGCTTCACTTGAACTGTTTGTTTTTGTCATTCAACATAGCAATATTGTCTTCAAATGTCTTCTTTCCTATTCCAAGGTAGTAGGTCTCTGAGGAACCACTCAAAAAAGCGTATTAAAAGTGGTCATACTTGGATGAAGGCACTCCAACTCTGCTCAAAGCAAAAACTAGTGTGATCCTTTTGTAAAATGTTCTTTTCTTTCTGAAAAAGGCAAGCAAGGGTGCATGCACAGTGCGGAGAGCTGTCAGGGCGCAGGGACAAGCACAGGGGCTGGGTGGGCGGCCACCAGGCCTTAAGACCCCACCAGCACCTCCATGATGTGGTCCAGCTCCGTGAGGTCCATTTTGAAAGGCTGACTGGGGGCGACGGGCTGGCTGCTGTAAGGGGCGAGAGTCTTGAGGAGGTCGTCGGCCGACACGGGGGCCATTTTTGAGGCCGTGCCTGACGCGGACGTGCAGGGGTCAAAATCATACATGGACGTGTCGATGTCCGCGAACAGGATGTCGTCCAAGGTCAAGTCTGTCAGAAACCCCGTGGACGTCGTGATCTCAAAATTCCCGGGAAGCGACTCCATGAGCCTGGGGTCGTCGGCTCGGGCCTCCGGGAGCCCCTCGTGTTTCTGGAGGCCGGGCTGGGCGGCGTCCCCTTTGGCGCGCTCGGCGGCCGCGGCGGCCTCGGCGGAGGTAGATGTGGGGCAGAGCTCCTCGATCTCGTCCAGCGCGGAGGAGAAGCTGTCCTTCTCCGGCGGGAGGGCTGGGGGCGAGAGTTTGGTGGGGCACACGGGCTGCAGGGCCTGGGAAGTGCAAAAAGTGTCATCGTCGGCCTCCAGCAGGGAGGCGGGGGTGAGGCAGGCCTCCAGGGGCGTAGTGCTTCCGGGGTCACAGGGGTGCGCGGCGCCCGCGGGGTGGGGGTGCCCGGGCGCCGGGGGCGCCTCGCGGTAGCTGTCGCTCAGCGCGTCGGCCGGCTGCGAGGAGGGGGCGAACACGGGCCGCAGGCTGCCTTCCTGTTTGAGCTCCTCCTGGATCCGCCTCAACATGTTGTTGATTAAAACGGTCTTCTGCAAGCTGGGTTCCGTGAGGGGCCGGTGGTTGTAGAGTTTCATAAGGGAAATGTTGAAGATAGTCTGGCGCTGTAAGGTGTAAGACACCTTGGATGGCCCGTCAGAGGGAGACACAATTTTGCCTTCCAGCCCATCTTCATGCTCATCAAACTTCCGTTTTCCTCCTTTCCCCAACATATATCTGCAAAGGAGAAAGGAAGGAAATGGAGTCAATCACAAGAAAATTCATGTTTGCCATAAAAAAGATGCTGGTTCAGAGGCCCGGCCTTGGACTTCAGACCCTTGCCCTGGGTTAGAGCAGGTGAATGAATGGGGGGGACCTTTAGAACAGGAGAGAACTGGGAAGGCTACCTTTGTATGCCCGGGGAGCAGATTTTGTGAGTAGGTAGTCTGGTGAATATATTTCTTGAGAAATGTGTACGACACAGACAAGTTAAACGTTACCATGGAAACCGTGATTTTGACTTTCTCAGCTAGTGTGCTTGGTTCGCATGCCTAACATTATCATGCAGGTTCAGTTTCCCTCCCCCAAACAGATTTATTTTTAAAGCCCAAGAAAACACTTACAATGCTATGACCTAAACAGATAGAGGTGTCATAGATTACAGCTGGAACACGTCTTGAAAGAGTAAAAGAACCAAGTTAGAGAAGGAGGAACATGTAGAGTTGGTAGAACTGTCTGTGCTTTCAAAACGCCTTTTCCTTCCTCTTTATGCAGAAAAACCTTTCTGCTTGTTTGGTGACATGTGGCGAAGCACTTGGCCTGCGTTAAATGACCATAGTCATTGAGCTGCCGCCGCTTTTTCAATCTAGAATCCAGTGGAAGAATGTGGCTTTCCCAGCCCAGATTTTTCCATGCCTCAGTTTCATTGCATAGTTATATCTGAATGCAACTGGATTAATTTTAAAGTAATTTGCTCTGACTAATTTGCTCTGACTCTACACATTGCTGTTTGGATACTTGAGCCACTTCTTAACAAAATACCTACTGTGATTTGGGAGACACGTTTGTATTTCAAAACAACCTTGTATCTCAGACCTTGAGCATCTGATAATGGGTTGAATTTTAACTCCTGTCCCACCATGATCAACTGCTTAACTGTCTCCTCTCTTGCTCTGGCTCCAGTAAAGACACCCTCTGCTGGCCACGCCTTCTGGAGAGGGGTCTTCCCTCTAAGAACTGCTACCATGCAAACACAACAATCCAAGTCCTTCACCTTTGCCTCACAGACTTCACTTTCTAATCATTTAATCAAGAAAAATGTCCTAATGTTGCATAGACCAGGAGACAAGGTTCTAATTCACCTACGCCGGGTGCTTGCTCCCTCACCTCCTGTACGGCTCGGACTCACGGCCACTTGTTAATTCTCTCCTCAGTGTCACTCACTCTTTCTGGTATCTTCCTGTACAAGCAAGTGCTTGGTAGTGACACAATTTTTCTTTTCTTTTTTTTTAAAGATTTATTTATTTATTTATACATGCACTGGGTACAGTCAGAGGCGAGGGAAAGTGAGAGAATTCACCAGAGCCAGAGCGGGGAGCAGAACAGGCAGAATGATGAAGTACACTGCTGAGGGGAGCAGCGGGCGGCAGGAGAGGTCTGCGCGCCATGTGTGACCCTCCTCTGGTGGCCGGGGAGCAGCCGGGGATCGAACCGGCGCTGCAGAGGCTGTGGGCAGCTTCACAACCCAGTGCTCAACCGCTGCGCCACTGGGGAGGCCCCCACAATTTTTCTTTTAAAAGCGATATGCCTTTTACTGAATTGCTTCAGCTGATTTTGACGGCACCTCATTCAATCCTTTGTTAACTCACGCCACATCTATGCAGTCTTGGTAGTCTGCCAGGCACTGGGGAGTCCTACGGATGAATAAAGCCTGGCTTTCAAGGGGCTCAATATCTTGTACACTTCATTATCATTTTGAATTATGAGTCTCATCCTAAAGGAATAGGCTAACCATAATAAAACTTTACAGAACTTCCTTCCAATGCTTTATTAAGGAGGTCACTTGCCTCTTGAGGCAGACATACTTGCTGATGGCCAGTCTGGCATACAAGTCCCACTTGGGGTAACCACCTTCATGTGTCTCAGTCTCCAGGAGAGAAAGACCAAGGCAGTTGCAACTGATGGTCAGAATCACTTTGACAGTTTGTTAATGCTCATAAAGAACGTGCAGTTACTTGTATTAAATTCTCCCTCATTTTGTAAACATTGTGTAAACATTTTCTGACACGGCTGTCAATCACTAGAGCCAAAGACCAGTCCCATAATTAACGGAAAGACTTCACATGTTTTTCACTTAACAAAAACACTTTCTACCTTAAACATTGTAAGTGTTACAGTGACATGGGCCTCCCTGGTGGCGCAAGGGGTGAAATGTCTGCACTATGAAGCTATCCACAGTAACTGCAGCACGAGTTTGATCCCCTGCTGGGATGCTGACCCACATGGTGCAGCAGACCTCTCCTGTCTTGCCTGCTGCTCCCCTCAGCAGTGTATTTCAGTCAGTCTGCCTGTTAGGCTCCCCATTCTGTCTCTGGTGAATTCTCTCACCCCCCGTACCTCTGGCCTGTACCCCAGTTCTTGTATGCATAAATAAATAAATCTAAAAAAAAATGACAACTGAGAGGTCTCCCTGGTGGCACAGGGTTTAAGGTCTCAGCACTATCAAGATTTGGCCAGCCACTGCAGGCATGAGTTAGATGTAGGCCAGGAAGCTAACCCACAAGATGCAGCAGACCTCTCCTGTCTTGCCTGCTGCTCCCCTCCCCTCAGCAGTGTATTTCAGTAGATCCGCCTGTGGGAATCAGACAGAACACTCCCCACTCTGTCTCTGGTGAATCCTCTCACCCCCCCTCCCCACCTCTGGCCTACACCACAGTTCTTATATGCGTAAATAAATAAAATCTTAAAAAAAAAAAAAAGCATTACGGTGACCACCTCACCGTTGTTTTGAAGCAGATAATCTTTTGAAACAGATAATCGTATTAACACTTAAACTATTAGTATTTGCTTACAATTTAAGCATTTAAAAATACTAGCAAAATTCCACTTTGGCCAAAGAGCTTCTTACTGAGTGCATTTAATTCTCATACAAAGCTTCTATGTAGTCTATTCTATGTTATAAAGTGATCAAGCACAACACTTTGAAAGTGCGTGCGTGTGTACACAAACAAACATACATACACTCTGATACAGTGTTTCTCAAAGTGTGATCAGTAGTTGGGCTGTCTGTGAACTGTTCCAGGTCCTGAGGAGGTAAGCAGAGATACTGTATTACTTAGAAAATGTTTATAGAAAATTAATAGAGTAACTGTTCGTGTGCAATTTTTAAAATGAGGCTTCTATTTTCTACCTCTTTGTACTTTTATGTCATTTTTCTAGTAATTATTTGCATCATGTTTTACTGAAGTACTAGTCCATTAAGAAAAACAAACGAGATGATCCCTTATTACAAAAAGTCTGAGAAGCACAGTTCTAAAATATAACCCAAATACCCAAATAAAAACAAGCTAGGTAGCTCAAAACCATTTTGGATTGTTATTGGTTTTCTGGAGAAGTGACAGGCAAGACAGTGTAGACTTTTCTTTTAGTCATTGATATAGAACTATCTTTTAAAGACTAGTTGCCAGAATAAACAACAGGACTTTCTCAATAACTCCCATTTCTCTAGAAAGAATCACTTAATCTATAGAACTCAAATATTTAAAAAGCAAACTGGTCATGCATTACTGGAAGTATTTAGCAGCATTCCCACAGCTGAAGGAGATTGTTGGAGGTACTTTCAGAGTCAATGTGAGAAGCACCCAATTCCAATTAGAACGCTCTAGTTGGTCACAGCTGTGTGATAATCCTAACGATTTAGGAAAGGTCTGATAAGACGTTAGTAATGCTGTCAGGGGAAGAGGAAGGAGGGCTCTTGTAAGCCAAAGCTGAGTCCAGAGAACAGAAACAGACAAAGCGAGTCTTGGATGGTTTTCAAATGTGCAGATAGAGTTTGTCTCAAAGCAGCCTCTGCTTTTACTTCTCTATTTTGTTTTATGAAGCAAGACCGGTATCAAACACCTGGTAAGATTGCAAAATGCACACAGTCCTATTTGTAACCCTAATTCCGGCTTTTCACAGAAAGGAATAAAATACAACGTAATTAAATCTCCATATTATCACTTAGAAATTTTAAAAATTAAAAAATGAATTTAAAAAGAGTTAAAAGTTTTCCCATAGTTTGCTCAGCACATCGTTAAGAGTCTTACCACTGACCACATTCAGAAGAGGCCCCAACTCTGAGGCCGTGAATGCCCACTACTCTCCGGCTGTACGACTTTGCCCTTCTAGAGTGGGGCACAATTCAAACTCAAGTCTCTTAAGAACCCGAGAAGAGTTGAATGATTTCTCCAGGCCAAGAGCTCAGGCTGGCCAAAGCCAGGGACAGCCCAGTTCCTAAGAAGCCTCTTTCCTCGGGCACTCTATGAAAATAACAATAGCTCTTCAAGCAAGCTATTGGAGAGGCACGTGACCTTTTAAAAGGCCTTGCTAGACTGCAGCTCAAAGCAAAGCCGTAGCAGGAGCTCAAACTAACAGGGGGGTGGAAGAAGGGGAAAGTAGATGTCTGTTGTTCTGTCCAAAAAGGCCCTGTCATGGCTGTGGACCACTGACCCAAGCAAGCACGGTGGGCCCAGGGTTCACTGAAAGAAGAGGCTGGGTCAAGTCTGGTTCCTGGGCCACCCCAAGGCTTGCATATCTCACTTTTTCCTCCCTCGGGCTTGTGAGCACCCAAGACCAAAGCCCATGTCTTTTCCCCAATTTGCATCAAGGCTGGATTAGGGTCTCCCAATGTGGAGGAGTGAGATGGGTGGCCTTCCCTTTTCTGCCCACCCAGGACCCTAAAACTAACCACAGCCACTTTTCTATTGAATATTCATTGGCTTTTACATAAGGTGTGTGATAAACATCTCCCATCTCCAAAAATCCTTGAGAAACAAACTCCTAACATTCTGATTTTCTTGACATAAATTTTAGCAACTATTAACTGCAGCAAACTGAGTATTAAAAATGAAGATCAAATCTCACTGGTAGCAACATAAAAGAAAACTTCTCTGCCGGAGTTTCCCAGGAAGTTTGATACTGAACACAACTCTATGTACCAAATGTGTCTTCCAACTGCTTAGCTTCCCCTAGGAAAGGTCCTGATCTCAAGAGCTACAATCTGCTTTGGGAACAGTAACAAATAACCAAAGCCCCCAGGAGATTCGCTAGAAGAAATACAGAGAAGCAGGAAATGATATTACCTGACTACTTGGGGGTTGCGGATTCTGAGAGATTATGATGGATGGTGATGGGGAGACCCTGAAGACAGGACTTGAAGTTTCTATTTAAGGTGGGATTGTCTCCTAAAATCTGTTTCCCAACCCTCGGGAGTAAGCCCATGAGGGCCCAGGCTTTTGTTGATGTCCCTATCCTTAGGACTGGGCAGTTCCTGACTCGCCGAGCTCATGGCACAACAGTCAATGAACCCATGTTAAATGGTGAGAACAAGAAAAGACACTGCGGGACAGTCAGAGAAGAACTACAAAACAAAGATATGTGTATATTTGGCCTAGCGTGAACTGTGCTTGGAAGAGAGTGTACAGCAAAGGGGAGAGAAGACTGGACCTTTTACCGGATGGGGCCAGGGTGAGGAAATGCACCAGGACATCAGGGTTAGAGGGGTGGCAGGGTGTGCACAGCGAGCTCTCTGGTAAATGCTTCTTTCACTCTAGTATCAGCCTCACCTGGAGGGTTTGTGGACACAGAATGCTGGGCCCAGTCCCCCCTTCCCCAAGATTCTCAGGCAGAAAATGAGGCAAAGCGCCTAAGAACCCTCATTTTCAACAAGTTTCCAGGTGGTGCTGGTCTGGGAACCTCAATTCAAGAAGCACAGTTTCCTATTTTCCCCATCTGGCCATTTAGTTTTTTAACACTGAGAATCTCTTTACTCAATATTGAGTCCACAGGTCTTCCTTGTTTGTCTAAGCAAATAAGGAAAAAAAAAGGTAAGTGATTAAAAAAAAAAAAAAAGACCATGCAGATGTCTTCAGGTCAATTTTAATGATGAAGCCCAGCTTCCCAGACTGATATTATCAGACCCCACAGTCCTTCTATCCATGGGGGCTGATTCTCCTTGCTGTGACCTTAGCGTGAAGGGCAATGAGGTTTTATGCTCAAAGTCCAAAATAGAACTGAGATAGTACCAAAGGGTTAAAAGGGGAGCATTTCATAGTTTTTATATTTTTTAAGGCATTAAGTCAAAAATGCAAACATTATAAAAGGACAAGAAATCCTCTTAACCCAGTGCCTTTCAACTATTTAAAAAAGCTTTGTTAACCATTTAAAAATCACTCTCCTTTAACGTAATTTTTACCTGTCAAAATTAATGTCTTGATTTTTAAAAAATTGTTTTTCAATCTAGTTTTGCTAAGTTGTTTTATTTGATGAAGTACCAAGTATA